GGAGAAAATACATATCCTCTGCTTCCCTTAGAGTCTAGGGTTTAAGAGTGCTCATTGTCAGTTTTTCCCTAACATGAAATGGTCATTATTTGGCTCATTAAAGTACATTCTTTTCTTAGCTATACTGGAAACAAACAAACAAACAAAAAACAGGTCTATAATCCTTCATTGACTTCAACAACCATTTCCTTTCTTAACTAGCTACATCATTTTTAAATCCAACCTGTTTCCAGACATACCTGTCTGTGAAACCTGGATCATTTTTGTCGGCTTGCCTAATACACCGATTCCCACCCCTGCAAATCCTTTTTAGATATAAGAAGGAAAGTGAATCTCCATATACTAATAAGAATGTGATCGTTGTCACAAGAAGTTGAAAGATTACTTCCATATTTACCTGGTATAATGTTGTTTACATAACCCAGAATAAAATGAACCGCAAGCAGTCTCATTGCCAGGTAGTTTATAAAACTTAGGGTCCACTCTGTTTCCTGGCTCCTCTTTTGTTGTTTTTATGCGTGGGCTGGCGCTCCTGGTCTTAACTGATACAATGTTCTCTGTAACTAAGAATCATCTTTCACTAATTAAGAGTGAAACATTGACTTCTCAAATTCCAGGTCACTTAAACATGACTGTGAATTTCATGATGAATTCTACAATTCTAATTATAAAGAAAAATAAAGGTTGATGTTATTATTGCTGGGGATACAACTTTCTTTGGAATAATTGCTTCCAGTTAATTTCATCAACATACTTTTCCTCATTTCCCAGAGCAGAGCGCCTTTGCTCTATTTCCTTCTTTCTTCAATCTCTCAGCAACAATTGGGAAACATAAAAGGGCAGATACAGCTCAATCAGCAATATGCTGTAATAGAGGTTCATCTAGGATTAGAACAGTTATTGTGAAAGGTTGAAGAATCTGTCTATCTCTGCATAATGTTGGCGAGGGAGCAATAATAATGCAGTGGAAATGATTTACTTTTGAATTGTTTTTTTTTTTTTTTAAGAATAATACAAGTAAGTAGAGGTGAAAATGACTGAAAGAGAAATCAGCCTGTGCAAAGCTATAAAGGTCAGAGATATCTTCCTTTTGACTGAGAGTATGGTGGACTACAATGATAAATTTTTGAATGTAGAACCACATTGCATTTCTAGAATAAATACCACGTGGGTCTGAGTTGCAATGCATTATTCCTTTTTAAGTCATTATTCTCTCATATGGTGTAGACTATAGTTTGAATTTTGAATATTTACCTACAGGCCTCTGTATTAAGGGCATGGTAGTCAGCCTGTAGTACTACTGGGAGGTGGTGGGACCTTTAAAAGGTTGGGCTTAGTGGAAGGAAGTTAGGTCACTGCAGGTTTTCCCTTAAAAGGCAACATTGGGACCATACCTCTTTCCAATTTCTCTCTTTGCATCCTGGGTGCCAATTTATTGAGTTTTCTCTGCCACTTGCTCCTAACAGTAACATATTGCCTCACCAAAGACCCAAAGGCAATGAGGACAAGTGAAAAGGGACTTAAACCTTTGAAACATTGAGCCAAAATAAACCTTTCTTCCTTATAGATTGATTACCTCAGGTAATTCGTTGTAGTGTTGGAAAGCTAGCTAACATATTATGGATTTAATCTCCAAATATTTTGTTGAAAGTTTTTTTTGTTTGTTTGTTTGTCTCTATCTTCATGAGGGGCTTTGGTATCTAATCTTCTTTGCGTGGGATTTTTTTTTACATGTTTTTGGTTTTTTTTAGCATAAATCTGGCTAAGGCTAGGAGTTGTTTCTTCTTGTATTTCTAGAAGAAATTGTATAGAATTGTGTTATTTCTTCAAAATGTTTTGTAGAATTCACTAATAATACCATTTAAGCCTGGAAACTACCTTACTAGAGTTTTAAACTATGAGTTAAATTTCTTTAAGAGTTGTAGGGTTATTTATAATGATAAATATTATAAATTATAAATATTTATATTACCTTGAATGAATTTTGAACATTTATGGTTTTTTAGTGAAGTTCAATGAAGTTTTCAAATTTACATGTACAAAATTTAGGTTATTCCTTCCTTTATCATTTTAAAGTTTGTGGGGATTTATACTGTTGTTTTCTATTTCACTCTCCATATTGGTAATTTATTTCTTCCCATTCTCTCTCATTCTCTTTTATTCTTGATAGAAGTTTATGTATTTTATTTTTTTGTTTTTTATTATTTTGTTTTCATATTCACTAATTTTTGTCCTTTTCTATGGTTTTTCTTGTTTTCTTTCTTTGAATTTGTTTTTATGTGACTAAGCCATAAGAAGATTGAAAAGAGAAAAGTTGCAAATATATTTGCAATTTGATGATACATTGAATTCTGGTTTTCTTTTCTAATCTGCCTATTATTTCAAAGTTCTCAAATGTCAGGTTCATGTATCCTTCTCAGGATTTTTGGTTGTACTCAATCAGAGATCTGGAATGGACTTTTATTGACTAGTCAGAAACCAAGTACCCAAATTCACGAGGCATGAACATTCCATGGACAAGAGTTTATACTAATAAATAACTAGTCTATTTTAACAGCATTTATTTCAAGGCCTAGATCATTATAAAAACTAGGAATTTTGTCTGTTTTGAAGACATAATTTTGTGTGAAAATACTTTGTATACAACCAGAGACATAAAAAATTGTGCTCTATATGTGTAATAAGAATTGTAATGCATTCTGCTGTCATATATAAATGAAAATATAATAAATAAAAATAATAATATACATGAGAGTTAAAAATAAGAGACAGTAGAGCATTTCTCCATTGTATAAGATTCTCTCCTGAAATCATTGAGAAAACTAAAACTGCCCCAATAGATGTCAAAAATGGCTGCTTTAAAGTATTCCTGATCCCATGGAGACATGCTGCTTTAGGTCAGTGCTGTTTGATGTAACTATCTACAAATGAATGAGGTATATCTGAGGCACACATTATATCTGAGGCACTAAAGTTTAAATTAATTTGAATTTGTTTCAATACATATGTGATTAGTAACTTCTGTAATTGAAAGCATAAATTTGGAGATGACATGACATTAGCAAAGCCAATTCTGAGCTAATAAATTCACATTACATAGTGGTATTTTAATCAGCTTTGCATTGCTGTGACCAGAAGACCTGACAAGAACAGCTTAGAGAAAGAGAAGTTTATTTTGGTTCATAATTTCAGAGTTCAACCTATGGTTGGCTGACTCCATATCTCTGGAGATGAGGTAAGGCGGAACCTCTTGGTAGAAGGACAGGGCATGGCAACCAAGAAGCACGGAGAGATCTCACCAGTTGCAAAGTGTATACCTCAACAGCAAGCCCACAGGTCCTTACTGCCTCCCACCACACCCTACCTGCCTAAGGTTCCCCCCCTGCTACTCCATATCAGTGGTATAAGCCACTGATTAGGTTGCTGTTTTAGTCGACTTTTTCACCATTGTGACTAAAGGTCCCACCCAGCACAATTGTAGAGGAGGAAAAGTTTATTTAATGGCTCATGGTTTCAGAAGTCTCAGTCCATACACAGCCAGCTCCATTCCCCAGGGGCTCCAGGTGAGGCTGAATATCATGGCAGGAGAGTTTGGCAGAGGGAAGTTATTCACATGATGATTAGAAAGGAGAGAGAGAGAGAGAGAGAGAGAGAGAGAGAGAGAGAGAGAGAGAGAGAGAGAGAGAGTCCACTCTCCAGATACAAAATATATATACCCCATAGTCACACCCACAATGAACCATTTCCTCCAAACACATCTCACCTGCCTCCATTTACCAACCAGTTAATCCCATCAGGGATTAATTCTCTGATTACATTAAGGCTATCACCCAATCATTTCTCCTCCAAACCTTCTTGTATTGTCTCTAAGGTGAACTTTTGAGGGACTCCTCACATTCAAATCATAATAGTTCTACCTCTCATACTCTAATTATTTCACCTCTAAATATTTTGCATTGTCTCACTTTCGGGTGCTTTCAGGAGACACATCATACTTATACCATAACAAATGGGAATGCAAAACCATCTTGCAAGATGAGCCATGACAGAATGCCTTGCCATTCTGTATTTCTTTAAAGTCCTTACCAATCTTAAACCAAGGAATTTAAATTAGTCTTTATTAGATATCTTATTTAGTTGAGCACATTGCTCATATATGTTATAATTTTGAATATTGATTATATCACCTAAATTATTCACTATTTTTCTAGTTTCATGTCCTGCAAAATCAATAATCTCACCAATTCATGGCATTATTGAAGAAATTTATATATTGCTGGATGAAAAGAGATGGAAATAGATACTTTTATTGTAGCATTTAAAGCCTTCCTTCAGTTGGCCCTATTCTTTTGCAGCATTCCAGATCTTCAAATTTTTATCTATTTTCAAGAATATCAAGGAATTCATGGTCACATATCTTGTTGAAATAAAAACACATCACATCATGTCTAGATATAGGCTACTACTTACACTCTGAAAAAGAAATGAGATTAATTTGGTATGATTTGTTCCAAAGAGGTAATCATTATCTTAATTATACAATTGAGGAAGTTGAGACACAATGGAATTATTTGATTAAAGTCAAATAGGTAAGAAATAGTGGACTTGAAAGTAAAATAGCAGAAATATTGGACTCTAAAACCTGTGACATTTACACTAGATCATTGTGATAGGCAGCTTTTCTGTTGGCCTTCTGATAGTCACACCTTGTGGAATCCTTCTCCCTTGGGTAAGTAGCTTTTAAATAGCAGATACCATGACACAGTAACCCTAGAAGTAGGTATAGGAAGATGCTTAGTACAATTTGATGCATGAAGAAAGTTGAGCATCACAAGAATTAGATGACTTCTGAAATTTAGTCTTGCAATTTGTTCAATTCAGTAGCTGAATTGGTAATGGAATCCAAACTGATCTTTGTATTTTCAGGATGTGTGTTCTCCACATGTACCAACTCTATTATGAGATCACTTTTACGTTTTCATTTTAAAATTTTATAGTTACTCATTTATGGCGGATGTCCTACACAGTCTTCTGTCTGTACGTAACACATCAGTCTCTCCCATCTAGGTTTCTTCTGCAGGGCTTTTTGGTATGCATGAGTGGTCACTCTCATTCGTTGTTGTGCCTGACGTTTCCTAGAATGGAGTGTTATAGTTTTATCAGTGCATTTTTAATTGTTGTGCCTACATTTCTGTCACCAACTCTGATTGGGTTAGAGAAACAATGCCTAGGTTCATCTGTGCTTCTCTGATGAAGGTGCTGTTATACTCAGAATGTATGAAGTCTCATAATTTTGAAATGCTGTGAAGGGAACTTGGTAGTAAGGCGAATGGAAAAGTTTCCCTTTCAGAGTGCATTGATTTTTATCATGTACATCTCTAAGCAGTTCATTATGGCAAAAGATGGGGCCCAGGATCTATTTCTAAAGCTTGATGGAGACAATATTTGGTGGTCAATTTTTCCTCATTTAACAGGAATTCTCATATCATTTCCATTGTCTTTCCCAACCCCTTGAATATTGCTCTCTTGTGCATTTTCAGTTTGATTGAATATTGATCGTGAAAAAATAACAATGAGTTTTTTTCTGTCATGGGTGAAAAAATCTAAGTATTGGGTTATTCTCAAGTGGAATAATGGGTTGGCATTACAATTAACTTCTTCATTCTTAAAACTAATTTTTAAAATATCAAGTGTTTTACATGCTGTCTTCTGAGTTGCTAACCTCTGTTATTCCCTCTGAGCTCACATTAAAACTCAATATCCCAACAACAGACTTCTCCCATTTTCAGAATTCTTGTGGGGCATTTGTTACTGATCTGCTCCAACCCTTTCACTCATAATGTTATACTTCAATCACTATTCATCTTTTTATGAATCAAACATGTGATTTAAGTCCATTGGGGGCAATGGCTATATTTTTCTTTTTTGGACTTCCAACCATAGAATGCACCATTCATTTAAATAATAGGTTCATATGAGTACATTGGTGCCATTGAATTACCTTAAGTGGTAGACAGATAGAAGTGATTACTGCAGTCAACATTTGAGTGGCAGGCAGTTTCCACACTACATGGACATGGCTATGTGAAAATAAACAACAAACAAACCTTGCCTTAAGAGGCTTAGAATACGGAAAAAGAAACAGACACATGAACTCATTACAGATTGAGAATTCCTTATCTGAAATAAATGCTTGGGACCAGAAATGTTTTAGGTTTGGGATTTTTTTTTTAATTGGGATATTTACATGAAATATCTTAGAGATGAGATCCAAATCTAAACATACACTGTGTTTATATTTCGTATACACCTTTTTTGTTGTTCCAATTTGTTATACATGACAATAGAATGCATCTTGTCACATCGTATATAAATGGAGTGTAAATTCTCATTCTTCTGGTTGTACATAATGTGGAATCATACTGGTGGTGTATGTACATAGGGTAATAATGTCTGATTCATTCTACTCTCTTTCCTATCCCAGTAACCCCTCCTCTTACTTTACTCCTCTCTACCTAATCCAAAATACCTCTATTTTTTCCTAGTACCCCACCCTTATTGTGAATTAGTAATCTGCATGTCAGAGAAAAATGCTTGCCCTTTGGTTTTTCAGGATTGGCTTATTGCGCTTTAGTCATATACATTTTTACACATAATCTGAAGGGAATTTTACACAATATCTTAGTACGTTTGCATTTGATTGTGACCTGTCCCCTGGTGTCATGTGTGGAATTTTCAACCTGTGATATCATGTCAGTGCTCAAAGTTTTGGATTCTGGAACATTTTGGATTTTAGCTTTTTAGATTAGGGATGCTCAACCTGCATTTTTTAAAAAAGTGTAATGAGAATAATATCATTCAGTAGAATTATAGCAGAAGAAATAATTAACCCATCCAACCATATAACATTAACATTTTAGAATCTTCACTTTGAATAAAATACAAACGAAAAAATCATTGAACAAATAAATTAATAAAAAGAGGTAACATTCTTTCTATCTTCACCTGGTGAAAAAAAAAATAGAACTTTGCCATTGACTTCCAAAGCCTTTAACTTTCACCTCCAAATCCTTGTCTGTGACTGTTAGGGGCAGTCTGTCCCCTCCCTCCAATCGTAACTGCTCTTCTTACTTTTATATTAATCACTCCCTGGGGTTTTTTGATAGTTTTAGCACTCAGAAGTACATCCCTTGACATTCTCCTGTAATATTGCTCATGAAAAACAAAATATGTCTTTTAAGTTTCTGATACCTTCTTGATATTATAATCTACTAGAGCACTGACCAATTTTGGACAAAACACGTCAAAAGCTTTAAAAGTGTCATAAAAGTTAATATCAAAATTTGAAATGCTAGCACTTCATCTCAAGGAATGAATTATGCATATCTTTAAAGCATTTAATCTGAAGTTGTACATTTTGTTTTCAATAGTGAAAATTTGAAAATGGTCATAAGTTGAAACCAGGAAAATTGTGAAATTATCCATGATAAATGCATACAGTAGACTGCTGTGCAGCTATAACACCATTTGTTAATGGTGTACTTAAAAAAAGTTATATATAGCACAATTGCTCTGATAGATAAGTTGTATATAATATGATGAATTTACTTATATATGATACATTTTATCTTATTAACATGACATTTTCACTTTTAAATTTTTACTTACACATATATACTTAATTTACTTCATGATTTATTTTTAAGTTTAAGAGCATGTAATAAATAGTATATACCTTGTGATGCTATTTGTACTAAGAATGTATATAATAATAAGATGAGAATATGAGATGAAGTTCACAGTAATTTATCTGAATGGAAGCAGTATAGTGTCTTTAACTTTTCTTATTCTGTGCTCATCAGAATTTTGTTTGTTTGTTTAACTTGTTAGGATTATCATACATCCATAGTTGATAAAATAAACTTACAAAAAAGTAATCTATATGAAAAATGGGGAAATTAACCTTGGTTTGTTCTTGATGTTGCTTCTTTTTCAGGCATGAGCTCTTCTCCCCCTTTGAAGAGAAAACAGTCAATACTTATTACAACTAAAAGTGAAACTATGATCTGAATAAATAAAATGTAATATTAGCTGAAATTGGGTACTGTGTGAGAGGACAGACCACAGACAACCCAGCACTAAGCAGCTATAAGAGCACATGCAGGCCCAAGATTGCATTCAGCTCTTTCCCCATCTGCTCACGGCAGGAGGCTCTGGCAAATTCAATGGAGCATTATACTTGAGGGCTTTCTAGATCATCCAAGAAATCCCATGGGGGATGGAGTGGAACCTAGAGCAAAATTTCTTTTGAATAGACACTCTGGGTAGAGAAGCTTTCAGGGGAGGATTCCAAAGATCAGTATTAATCAGAAGTGGCAATGTCCAACGAGCACTAAGCCAAGAAATTGTAGCTTAAGCACTGGTCAAGTGGGTCACCATCAAGAGAAACCCATGGGACTGGGAAGGCTCAAGCAGCTTCTGTTTCAATTGGGGATCAATCCTGGGGAGGACATAGCCAAGGGAGTGAGTGAGTGCAGAGGGTGCTTGCTCCAGGGCTGGAGTTTAGTGACTCTTATGTTTGAGACAGTGTGTTCCTGAAAACTAGAACCAGACGCTGAACTTCTCTGAACCAGGACAGATACAATCAATTCCGCATGTGTTTAAAGACTATACTAGGTGCACATTTGTGAATATCTACTTATGTTTTTCAGTCTCCACCGCCCTTTAACTTATGACTCCTCAAGGCTATAGTACATTGAAATTGGGCTTTCAATTGATGTGGTTAAAGAGAAAGAAAAAAAAAAAAAACCCAGCCTTAATTATATTAGAAATCTAGGCAGAACTTTGTTTTAACTGGTCCCTTCTTCAACTTTTGCAGGCCAGATGTTTCTCTATTAACCCTCCCGAAACTGCATCATACACAATTTTTATAGTCGATAACAAAATTTCTTTTTTTTTTCTTTTTTCTGGCTGGAGATAGTAACCTATGAGCAACCTCAGCACATAAGAATGAAAAGCTCCTTCTGTTTTGATGCTTTTTTTTCCTAAATGATCTAAGCAAACAGGGATATGGCAAACAGCACATCTCACCAAGGCCAACTTGGTAGCAGGCCACCTCGATGCTATCAATTTTGCATTCCCAGCTGGTGTCCCTGTATAATTTTAATAGAAGGCCCTGTGTATGGCCCTTACAAATTCCCCACTGCTTGCTGAGGTGGATTAAAAGATGCAAACTCACTGAATACGCCAAAGAATATAATGGTCTCTACAGAAGATCTGGCTGTGTCAACCAACAAAGGGTTCCAGCTGTGGCAGCCCTGTGGAACAAAGGGAACTCTTGGCTTAATGTGGAGTGCATGCTTCTGACGTTCCAGTTCAGGCAAGAAATAAATAAAGCTATTACAAAGCCCTTGACCAGATGTGTCTGACATAGTATAAAACGTGTTTGCACAGAAACTTTGCTATCAACATGGCCCGTTCTTATAGTAATGGACATCTGTTCCTAAGGTTAACAGGGGGTGCCTCCATACTCACAGTAAAGACCTGGTCTCTTTGGCTTCCTTGAACTGTCTTTTCCCTGGCTGCTGTTGTTCACATTAATCTGCATAGTTTCAGTCATATGGGTCAATGATTTATTTAACACAGAATCTAAGTGCTTCTGTGTCATGGAATCAAACTCTGTCCAATGGTCAAAGACTTGAAATTTTCCATTTGTTTTCCAAAAACAATTGTGCACATTCCCCATAGATAACTTGACACTGTTAAGCCCGGTCACATTTTACATCTGTCTTTGACTTATATTGTTCCTAAGGTTGGCTATTGATCAGTGTTCTCACATGAATCCTTCATTACTCTAATTGGAACCATTTATAAACACATTCCTTGGACAGATGACAAAAGGATCCATGATAGACAACTTCTTATTCAAAACAGCTGTCCAATATGTAAATCGAAAGCTGTTAAGGATTGTATTGAGCTGAGAACAATTATATAAGGTTCTAGTCTGTTGTGAATTAAAATGACTGCATTAGAGCTTAAGGGATTTGTAAAAGAGTCTTTCTTTTCAAGAATGCCAGTTCAAATACAGATCAGGGCATCGACAAGTAATACATTGTGAAAATAATGTACAACAAAGCTATGCTCTTCGCTTTATTCTTAATAGACAGGTAATGCCTCCACAAAGCACTGTCTACCATGGCGAATACGTTGGTGACCTTACCTGAATACTTAAGGACTGAAAGGACTCCACTAAATTAAGAAGCAGGCATGTTTTACATTTCAGGATGGAATAGAAACTTTCCATGGTTTAGGCACCTTATATTTCTTTTTAATTTAGTGCTGTTTACACACATAAACATCACACACACACACACACACACACACACACATAGTTTCCTTTTTCCATTTTTATCTAAAAATGAGATGAAATGAAACTCAAAACTGAATTTTTATAGACATGTGGAAATAACAAATATAAATTGACAATTCTATGTGTAGTTATTGTTTTCATTACTGAAACAGGTCTAAGGTCATTTGAATTTTGATAATTTCATCAGGTAAAAACTATTATTAATCTTTCTTTATATTTTTAGTTATAGATGGACACAGCACCTTTATTTATTTATTTATTTATTTATTTTTATGTGGTGCTGAGAATTGAACTTAGTGCCTCACATGTACTAGGCAAGCACTTTACCACCGAGCCACAACCCCAGTCCCTATCATTACTCTTATCTCAAACGAAAGTAAGGCCAGGGAGAGTAAATACATTTTCTGAACATCTCAGAAATCATATCCAAACCCAAAATATCTCACTCAAATTACTGTAATTTCTCTATGGGAGGTGTTGAATGCCAAAGCTTTGTCAAGTGAATTAATGTTGGTTACCAATATCCAACCTCGGGTTAGATAAAATGCATGGAAGATTGACATAAAGAAGACAGAAAGGGGATACTAGTATTTCCTTGAGTCCTTGAAGGCCTCTTTATTTTAATACATTTATTTTCTCATTTAATATCCAATTTTAAAAATGTAGTAGCACTATTTAAAATAGACAACATTAGCTCTACTTATTTTAACATGAAGTCACTGAAATCCACCAAAGAGGATTTCTGTTCCTCACTTCATTCCAACCTGGACTGTAGGACTGCAGCAAATTAACTAAGCCTTTGGGTGCAAATGATGCCTTTGTGGGACTCTCCTTTCAAATAAAAGCTGTGCATATGGAATCAGTATCTTGTATAATATAAAAAGTCAGTGATTATGAGACCCAGAAACTTACTTTGGTCTTCATGAATGGTGGTGTATGAAGAGGGCATGAAATCTCCTTGTAAAGATGAAATTGCTGTTAGAATAGTTGTCTTGGGAGAGTCCTGGCTGGAAATAATGGTCTTATTCACAGACTCTCTCTCCAAGTAGGTAGGCAATGGGCAATGGGGAAGAAAACCAGCTTTGAAGTGAATGTGTTGGTGGAAACATTCTGCATTGATTTTTGTAAGTGAATGCATTTAATTTCATTAACCTAATACTGTGACACCACCATTTCAGTCGTGTATTTATTCAGATAAGGAAAAAATGTGCGATAGATACTTAATTCCTGCTGATAGAATGGCATGAGGATTCAAGGAATGAGGAAATGTATTACAACTAAATAAAAGGAGATATTCTATCTCTATTCTTTTTGTCTTTTCTATGGAACTTCTCTTTTTCTTTTTTCTAGTTTGCTTGCCCTAACTCATATATAACCAAGATATGATCTATTGGGAACAAGAATTAGTTCTTTCAACCCTTTTTGTAAATGATTACATTTCTGTTCTTTTTTTACATTTATTCTATTTGTTCATTTGTATATGGTGCTGAGGACCCAACCCAGGGCCTCACATGTGCTAGGCAAGCACTCTACAGCTGAGCTGTAGACCCAGCCCACATTTCTGTTCTTCTCTCTTCCAAAAAGCTAGGTTCTCAAGATTTAACTGTGCTTATTCATTCAATCTACATTTTGGGAATGCCTACTGTGTACTGAGCATTTTACTTTCTAAGAAAGGAGGACAAAACACCTGTTCTCGAAGAGCTACAGGCTGTGTGCAGGTCTGCTGGAGCTTTTTCTCATCTGCCTTGCCCCAGCCAGTGGTAACTAACACATTCTTCTCATAGCAAAAGACAGTACATCAGGAGAGAAAGCCTGAAGGTTTAGGCACATTTCAAGCCTCTGCTTTAGTCACATCCACTAAAAGCCCATTGAACGAAGACCAAGTCAAAAGTCAAGGCATGGGTATGGAGGAAAAAAAGCAAATATTTTCCAAAATTGATTCAATCTACCACAGTAGTTATTTTGGCTTATTGTTTTAATTTTTTAAAAAATTGAACACATAAATATAATCTGTCATCTTTAGTAATCTTCAACTTGAATAATTATACAAAAGGTATACAATTGACTAAATTGAATGTTGCTCATGAAAAAATTAAAAAAGGGAAAGCTCAAATAATCTTATCAGTTATTAATTGGGAAATCATTCAAAGGTGAGTTATACTGTTAAAAAATAGACAAACCATGATCATGAATAATATATTGAATCAACTATTCACCATTCTGAACCTTTATATTCCATGGTAAATGAGATTTTTTTAACTGTATGTTCTGCAAAATCAAAAGAAATGGAAGAAATGGACTAGTTACCTATGTAGTTATCAAAGTTTGAGTGCAATTGTTTTTTTTTTTTCATTTTTTTAGTTTAATAATCATATATTTGATTGGGTTCTTGCACAGTCCAGCAATTAACTCATTCTTTCAAAGAAAAAAAAATATCAGTACCTACTGCATGCCAGGCTTCTTGCTGGTTATTGAAGAAACCATGGCTATAACACAGCTATCCAAATTGGAAACCTCCATTATTTGAGCATATAAAATAACTGATCTCAAAGTCATGAAAGGCAAAAATTTCAGGAAAAGGTTATGTACAACCCTGAGCACATTCCATGAAGACATCAACAAATTCCTAGGAGAATACTGAATGAGAGCAAAACGAGTGGTCCCAGATAGACATCAATTGCTTCAATTGCATTGCTTAAAGAACAGGTGTTTCTTACAGGTGGGTACAATAGTAAATTTTCCTTGGGTTTTTAATGCACTATTTCACTAGTGTGGGATTCCTTCCATTTCTTCCTTCTAGTGAAGACAGTCAACAGGTACTTGGTGACATTGAAGCCTCTTTGTGTGTGTGTTTTGGGAGTGGTAGGTGGTATTAGGGATTGAACATTGGGGTGCTCTACCACTAAGCTACATCCTCAGCCCCTCCTTTAATTTTATTTTTTATTTGGAGACAGGGTCTTGCTCAGTGCTGAGGTCATGCTAAGTTTCTGAGGCTGGTCTCAAACTTGTGATCCTCCTGCTTCAGCCTCCAGAGTAGTTGGGATTATAATTGCAACACCTCCAAGCCAGGCAAGGCTTTGCACTCTTTTGAAGTGTTTCCACACACTTCAATTTCAGTCTAGACTCACTACACTTAGAAAGTCTGGTAAGTAAAAGTGCTCAGAATGGACTTCTGTTATGCTTTCCAAGTCCATAACTGTGTGCAAAGATTGTAAGAGTAATTACTCTTGAAAATAAAGCACATTCTAAAGATGTGTGAGAGATTTGCCTTATCTGAGTAAAGACATACAGATTCCAAGAACTGTCCCACTGAGTTAGAATTTGATGCTTTCAGTAACCACAGTGAGATGCTGGGCAGGGGGTTATGATTTCTACTAGCTCCTTTATTTCTTTTAAATAGTTTCAATTGAGAACTGTTGAGTATTAGTGATGGCATGTAAATTTGCACATTGCCTTCAAGTCCTCTGTGGCTTCTGTCTTACCATCAACTCAGAGCTGCCTTTAAGCCGGAAGAGAATTGGTACAGAAGATATTATGCTGTGATTAATGGTGTGTCTTCATTATCTATCATTTTACCACCTTGAATCCACAACCTGACTTTAAGTGCACCCTATAAGCACACACCCTATGTTACATTTCTGCAAGTTTCACCAAAAAAGACTACATTTCTCCTCTAATTACCATCACAACAGCGCCCATTATGGTTTGACCCTAGTAATTTAGTTATATTTATGCTGCTACAATGTACCAAATAGATAATAATGAAGACTGATGCAGTCTAAGGTTGAAGCAAACTATAATTACGCAGACTTAATGCAGTTACCAGAAAAGGCAGTATGTACAAAACATGCTCAGATTAAGGAAACACACACACACTGAGCATTTGCTGGTATTCCCAAAGCTCTGCAATATACTTGGAAATTTCTGGAGCCCTAGACATTTGGTGCTGATGTTTCTTCCTTGTTTTCTGTGATTCCTGGACCTGATATTGTCATGTCCAAAGCTTCCACTTTTCCCCCCCTGTGTCAAAATGTGCTTTTCAAATGAAGATAGTAAGCAATTTATAAAGTGAATCAAAGAGAATATTGTTTGGCAATCTGTTTTATTTATTTATTTATTTATTTGCATGGTTCTGAGGATTGAACCCAGAGATGCTTTGCCATTGAGCTACCTCCTCAGAACTTTTTATTTTTTGAGACAATAAGTTGCCAAGGCTGCCTTTAAACTTGAGATCCTCCTGTCTCAGTTTCCCCATGCTCTGGGATTATGGGCATATACTACTGCATCTGGCAGTGATTCAATGTCAGATTAAACATGGAAGTTTAAAATTTTAAATTGAGAAATGTGTTCAAGATGCTATTAATCCCAGATTCATAAAATGAGTTAGAGTCCATGGCTATAACTCCTTAAAATATAGTGGCTAACAAAGTTATTGCAACTACTAATTAAAGTTACAGACAGTGAGCTGCACAGGACATACAAAGTTGATCCAGAAATTGCTTTTGTACAAGTTGATGCTTAATAGCATATGTTAAGAAAAAGCAAAAGAGGCAAGGGATTATTCACAATCATGTGTTAATAGAGATGTTCCTCTGGAAAGATCTAGATGAATTTTGGAAATCATTGAGACAGGACTAAAAGTATAAGTTGGACACCATTCTTGGCTCTTTGAATTTCAGGAATGAGATAATAGAAAAACTACATATAACTGCCTCAGTATTTCATAAAGCTTTTCATTTGTTCCTTAGTTACCATCTGAGAAATATGGGGAAGCAGGAGAAATGTGGCTTCCATGCACAGCCTGGGTCTGAGAAGAGGGAGAAGGAAATAGTTTGGGTTTCCTATTCCTCACCTGGTTCTGATCCACCCTAATCTCTTCGAAACATGGAACAACAGTCCTTCTTAAACCACATAGGATAACTTCTATAGTTACCAATTTCTAAGAAGGATGACATCGTGAATGTAGAGTTGTGTGCTTGTAATAAAAATTCCCCTAATGGTTTTAGGGGTCATGTTCAATGATCTCTGGCTATTCAGGTTCAACTGACTTACATTCCAAAAAGTCCTTCTAAAGAGATTTCTCTCATTCTCCTCATTGTTGAATAGATCTCAAATATTTCATGCCCCAGTAGGCCCGCATTCCTATTTTAAGTACATATCTGGGTAGCAGATTAGAAGAAAAAGGACAGAAGCAAAAATTAAACTTGCCAAAAGGAGTTTTGTTTTTTGGATAACTTTTTTTCCCTATGTCTTCTCATTAATTCCTAAGCTAGAAATAAGTCCTGGCCAAATTTCAGGTTTAGTCTCCTTAATGTATTTCATACCCACATCACAAATCCTGTTACCTCCACTACTTCTTTGATCCATCAACTGCCTCTTTCTCCACAGCACCAGGTGAGCTAGTTTTCAGGCATAGAGAGATCCAGCTGTTCATCTGGGAGTCATTTGAGGATCCAGTGTTAAGAGGTGGAGCTGGTGGGTCTTGCTTCACCTGCTATACTCTTCTCTATCTTTGTAATTGGATTTCCTGATGAGAGAGATGCTACAGTAGAAACAGATGTTCTTAAAATTAGAAAGAAAAAAAATGATTAAGGACCAAAGAAAGCATATAAACAGGGGGGTGATTTGTGTTTGTAAAAATGAAGTTTCTGCGCTCCAGGTTTCATATACTTTAAAAAAAAATAAAATAAAATAAACCAACTTGAACCTTTGGCTTCAACAAAAGTTCACTTTCCTGCAGAAATCAGAGGGAAGGCAGGGGTATAAGAGTGATGTGGCCCATAATACTTAGTGCACCTCCTTTTCAGCTAGTACCAGGATTATCAGGGCCTCTCCAGAGTGACAGCAAAGAGAAATCTCCAACAGGAGAGAATTGAGAAATGTCAGTTCCTACTTCATTTCAAAGCCCACACTCTGGCCCACGTAGGATGAGTTTGCCCTCAATCAGATTCCAGTTGTTATACAATAAACCAAAGAAAATATAGCAAAAATAAAATGAAGTAGAAAATGAGACAGAACAAAAATCCTCTTGTGATCTTCTAATA